GTGCCTGGGTATTCAGAGTTGTAGAAAAGAGTGTCAAGTGTCAGCTTTGACAAATAAGAGTTAACTATCTACCATGTGCGTTCCTTTGGCTGGAAAGTGCAATGGACAGAGTCGCTAGGACATCTGACAAGCAGAGAGCCATATATTGGCAGTTGGATACAGTGGTCATCGCTTGAAAGAATGGAAGGACAGAGATCACCTTGCCTATCTCTGATGGCACCACAGCACAGGTTTGATAAAAAATGAACTTCCCAAGCAACCGAGCATAAGAAGAGGCCAATAAGCGGCTCTGCCCAGGTCTCTGTGGCGCAATCAGTTAGCATGTCTGGCTGTTAACCAGAAGGTTGGTGGTTCAAGCCCACCCAAGGACGGCTGCTGGCCTTCTACCTGCAATGAGGTGGCTGAGTAGTGAATCTGTTGTCCTCTGCACACATGGGGGTTCAAGCCCACCCTCCGTAGCCCCTTAGGAGTACAATATCTAAGCAGCCCTTTTGTTGGGGAGTGCTGATCCGCCGCTCTAAAATGGCTCCTTTGTGGACCCTGAGATCATCTTCTGAGGCCCTCCTTTGTGTGCCTTGAGAGGTCTGGAGGGTGGCAACACGAGAAGGGGCCTTCTCTGCAGTGGCTCCCTGTCTATGGAATGCTCTCCCCAGGGAAGTTCCTTTTTAACACTCCTTTTTAACCAGGCCTTTGGTTGATCCGATTGACATCCTATGCCCTTTTAAAAATGTGGCCCTTTTGGGGAGATGGGGTGTTATTTGGTTGTTGTTTTTATGTTGCTTTTATATATTGTGGTTTTTATGTTGATCTTTTCTGTGAACCACCCTGAAACCCCTGGGTATAGGGTGGTGTGTGTGTGTGTGTGTGTGTGTGTAATTTTTTTTAAAGGCAAAGGAAGGAATGCACCAGTCAAGACTCAAGCCCAGATCGGTAATGAGACAATTCCTGTCATCAGTCTTATGATCTAAAAGGGATGACATCACAGTCCTGCCCAGCATCTCTTCCTCTGCCTTTTGCTCAGTCAACAAGCAAAAACAGTGCAGGCAGGCAAAAGTCCGCAAACAGCTGAGGAGGGTGGGATTCAAACCCACATGTGCAGAGTGCAATGGATTAGCAGTCCACCCGTTTCACCATTCATCTGCTTTATGAGGGATGCGGTGCCCACAAGCCGTCCTCCAAAGTAACATCCGGATGCACAGACCTATCGTACCACATAGACTCTGCCCCTCAGCCTCTTTTTGGCCTGAACATTCCCAGAAAGGGATGGATGGCTGACAAACGATGCAATGATCCACAGCCAGCCACTTTCTCCCAAGCAGCTAGCAGAGTGGCGCAGCGGGAGCGTGCTGGGCCCATAACCCAGAGGTCGATGGATCGAAACCATCCTCTGCTAGTTGGCAGTGGCTGCCTTTTGCTTTTTCCTTGGACAACCCACAAAAGAAAAGGGGGAAAGGGATCCCTTTTTCAGTAGGACAGCACAGCAACTCCTTCCTCTGGCAAAAGGCCTGGCAGAAGGAATCGCCTCGAAGGAAGATGGCGTGCTGCTTTTGCTTTGGTCCAACCTGCTAGCAAGGTGCTTGCTATGCTTTGATAGTGTTGCACACACCCCAGTCTCCAAGTGGCAAGAGATTCCAGGGGTTGCAGTGTTTTACCCAGGGTTCAGTTTCTTTTGAACAAAGCTCAGTGGAGACTGTGGTGTCTTTAGGATATATGGCTTTAATTGGGGTGGCCAACTCCCAAGAGACTGCGATCTACTCACAGAGTTAAAAACTGGCAGTGATCTACCTCCTTTTTTGGTGTTCAGGTCAAAGTTGTTGACCTTTTTTTAGGAAGGAAAACCCTGTTTTGGGGGGGTTCAGGAGCCGGTGATCTACCACAGACGTCCAGTGATCTACTGCTAGACGTGCCTCTTGAACATGCCTGCCATATACAATCTGAGCACCAGATTTAGGGGTTTGCAGCATTCAGTCTGCAGTAGAAGCCCCAAGCCACAATTCTGTGTCCAGCGCTGAGCAATACATGCCTGCCTCTGTCTCCAGCTTCCAGCATCCATGCTATTATTGCACCCTGCATTGTCAATCTGGCATTCAGCATCAGGCTGGACTAGAGGACCTCCAGGACCCCTTCCAACTTTCACATTCTGATTCAAAGGATAAACTAGGCAGGCACACAGCTTTTTCTCAGTAGCCAACCAAGATGGATCCACCTCGAACCCCCTGCTAATGTAAGGGGAAGGAAAAACTGCCCTCTTGCTGGAAGAGAATAAGAAACGTGGACAGTGGCGGTAGGATCCTTTCTCCCAGGCCCTTTGCCAGAGGGGGGAGTTGCTGTGCTGTCCTACTCAGCAGCAGCAACAAGGGATCCTTTTCCCCTTTTCTTTTGTGGGTTGTCCAAGGAAAAAGCAAAAGGCAGCCACTGCCAACTAGCAGAGGATGGTTTCGATCCATCGACCTCTGGGTTATAGGCCCAGCACGCTCCCGCTACGCCACTCTGCTGGCTGGTTGGGAGAAAGTGGCTGGCTGTGGATCATTGCAGCTAGGTATCCAGTCTGGGAATGACTTTATTTGGATTCTCCAACCTGTAATGAGGCAGTATCATGCCAGCATCCACTGTCTCCAGTTGCCGTGGCTATTTTTATTCAACAAACGGAAGATACAGACTTTCCCACCTGGGCTATTGCAGATGGTTGACACCCACCCATTTCAAGAGACAATGGAGCCGTGTGTCTTTGGATCCTGCTAACATCTTACAGCAAAGCAATATTAGCATGTCATCTCTCTCTTCTTTTCATCAATATTCCTTTTCCCAGGCTTGTTGCCAGAGGAGGGGGGCACAGCAGCTTCCTAGCTTCCTCCTTAGTAGCTGCAGGGAAATAATTTCCACTCACACCCACAAAAGTAAAAGTACCTAGCAGAGGATGGTTTCGATCCATCGACCTCTGGGTTATGGGCCCAGCACGCTTCCGCTGCGCCACTCTGCTGGATGGAGCAAGAAAGAGCCTAGTGCGCATCATCAGTTCGTTTGTCATCTGTCCAGTTCCAGCAACAAAACCACAGGATAAAAGAGACTGAGGGGCAGCCCTGCCCAGGTCTCTGTGGCGCAATGGGTTAGCGCGTCTGGCTGTTAACCAGAAGGTTGGTGGTTCGAGCCCACCCAGGGACGGTTGCAGGCACTTTGTCCAGGATGAGACATCTGTTGTCCTCTGCACATGTGGGTTTGGATTCTATCTCATCATCCCTTTTTCCCATTAATCGGACCCAGGTCAAAAGATTAGGAACCTCACATGATGCCTCTGGTCTACAGCACTGGTGCAGCTGATGCAGGTCTTTTCCTTCCAGGCGAGTGAACCTGCCAAAGGAAAACCTGTGGGCTTGCCTGGCCCACAGCAGTTATTTGCAGAGCATAAAACTGGACCTTTTTCTTTTGCATGGCATCAAAGGAAGCATAATAAGAGATTGAGGGGCACCTTTTTCCAGGTCTCTGTGGCGCAATGGGTTAGCGCATCTGGCTGTTAACCAGAAGGTTGGTGGTTCGAGCCCACCCAGGGACGTTTGCAGGCATTATGCCCATGATGAGGTGGCTGAATCAGTTTAGTTTCCTTCTTTGCTAGCCCTTTTCCCCACTGGCTGGATGTCCTAGAGCAGTGGTCCCCAAATATTTTCCCCCCAAGGACCACTTGACAATTGCTGAGGATCTTGGTGGACCACTTAATACGTTTCCTGCCTGTTGTAGCAGCTGTAATGCGCTGTGCTAAATGATTTTTAGTTGTAACCTTACAGCACTCTGCGGAACACCTGAATGAAGCTTGTGGACCACCAGTTTGGGAAACCCTGTCTTAAGGCATAAACTTCTAGCTGGCAGGCTGAAACTGTCTTCAACTCTCTGAAAGGAAAAAACAACAACAGGAAGGTATGCACCAGCCGGGACTCGAACCCGGGTCACAAGATTGGGAACCTCGTATGATGCCTCTACACCACTGGTGCAGACGACGAGGACCTTCTCCTTCCTGGGCACAATGTCTGCCGAAGAAAAAACTCCTGTGTGGTTGGATGGCCCAGAGGAGATTTTCAGCACCCTGACCAAAATGTGTAGGGACCTCTAGCATGTTGTGTCCAGTGCAGAAGCAAAAAGAAGCAGCAGAATAGCAGGTGATATTTTTCTTCTATCAACCTCTGGGTAATGGGCCCAGCATGCTCCCCTTCCAGTTTGGTAAAAGGAATCTGAAATGGCTTGTATAACTGTTTTTCTCTTAGCTGAGTAAAACCTCAGGCCAAGAGGGTGGAGATCTCTGTGATGCAATTTTTAGCACATCTGGGCTTTAGTTGGAAAGATGCAAGGCCACCCAGCTGCGGATATCATGTTCCGGATGACATGGTCAAGTGGTGAAGGCCGTGGACTGCTATTGTGTTGTGCACTGTGCTGTGGGTTTGAATCCCACCCTCACAGGATGCTTGCAAGCTTTTGGCTGCCTGTGCCTTCTTTGCATGTCAGCAGAGAAAATGCCAGTCTGGATTCGCACCCAGGTCACTCGCAGCACTGGCAACGTTGAATGAATGCCATACACAGGATTGGCACTGTTGCACGATGAGGCTTCTTTCTACATCAGTGGCGCAACTGAGCGGTCCCTTCTTTGGCATAAACCCTTTCAGGCAAACGGGTAAGCAGCTCCTTAGGTTCCCTCAAGCCCTGAGGATTATTTTGCACACTTATACAGTGGTACCTCAGGTTAAGTACTTAATTCGTTCCGGAGGTCCGTTCTTAACCTGAAACTGTTCTTAACCTGAAGCACCACTTTAGCTAATGGGACCTCTCGCTGCCGCTGCACGATTTCTGTTCTCATCCTGAAGCAAAGTTCTTAACCCGAGGTACTATTTCTGGGTTAGCGGAGTCTGTAACCTGAAGCGTAGGTAACCCGAGCTACCACTGTACTTTTTTCCAGACGACTAGGAGTTAACATAACAGAGTTGCGGATCCTAGAGAGGCTGGGGGAAAATAAGTAAACAGCGCAGGGCATCTTCCTCTTCCGCCTCCCGCTTCTCTCCCTCGCACTGTGCTGCGAAATAGCCTTTAGGTCTGGAGCCTCTGCTGCCGGTTGCATTCCTGGCTGCGGGTGCAATGCAAAGAAAAAGGACCGTGTGGAGCGGGTGAGCTAAAGCAAGGAAGGAGAGACAGAAAGCTTAGCAGGAAATAGCTGCTGGGCGGCGGCGGGGAACAGATTTCTGCAGCCGCCAAATGCAGACAAAGAGCTCTGTCTGCATTTGGCGGCTGCAGAAATGGGGCTGGAAGGGAGCTTCTGAGGGAGATTCCAGGCAGGTGTTTTGTTTTCTTGGGGAGGGGCTGTAGCTCAGTGGTTAGAGCCGCTGCTTTGCATGCAGAAGATCCCAGGTCCAATCCCTGGGGCTGGGAAACAGCTCTGTCCGAAACTGCGAAGCTGCTCTGGGAGGTCCCTTCAGCCAAGGTCCCTTCAGCCCCCCCCCCACCATAAAATATTTGAGGGCCTCCTCCCAAAGTTGATGGGCATTGTCATTCAAACGGTGTGTGTGTGCCATGTAATCAGTTATGTGGCGTGGGGCTTACCTGTCGTCGTCCCCCCCCCCAATATTTTATTCAAGCTGGTACACCTGGAAGCTGCTGTCAGTGTTGACAATAATGAGCTGGATGGACCTGACTCGGTATAAGGCAGCTTACCATGTGAGATCATGGCTAGCAGCCACTGACAGCCTTACCCACTGTGAATTTGTCTTTTCAAACCATTAGACTGTGGCTTTTTTGTTTTGTCATGGCAAAGTTAATTATTTCAGTTCTGTTTTAGGTTTTGAATCACGTGTGCACGCTGCCTTCGGATGGCTTGGCCCGAAAAGCAGCAAAGGAATACTTGAAATAAAATAAAGAGAGCAAAAAAAAAGGTGGGGTGATAACATGGAGGTAATGAAACATCACAAACAACTGATACAAATGCATCTGTGGTGTGGTTTTTGTCATTTTTCTTAGCAACAACTCTGGAGAGGAAACATCCAATTCTAGATATTGCACTCCAAAAGAAAAACAAATGTATAAAAACCAGGAACTCTTCAACTCAATAGCTGTTCCAGTTTAGTCCAAACTAGGAAACTGTGGTTAATGGTTTCAGAACAAGCCAGGGTATAAACCCATTGTTTGAAGCTGGCTAAATATCTTGGTTTGTTGTGAAGCTTTTAATCATGGCTTCCTGGTTTCAGTTGAAATGGAAACTATAGTGAGTTAAAGAAATCCTGACTTATTTGCTGGCTCCTGCAAACAGAGGAGTAAAGAGGCTGACCAAAGTTTTGTTTATTTCACCTTTGTTAAATCAATATACGATCATTGGAAACATCTAAATGTAAAAGCATCATCCCGTGTTTTCTGTTTTATTCCAGAAGGTGATGACTTAGACAAGCAGGAGGAAGATCTTTCGCTAGAAAGGTGTGAGCTTCCCCATCCTATTATCATCCAAAAGTGGCAAAAGTTCTGGAGTTGAAGAGATGCCGGGAAGTCAACAGGGACAAGAAGGACAACCTGAAAAGGCAACAGAAGGAGCTTTCCTTTGTGAAGATGGAGATAGTAGTTTAAATGAAAGTACATTACAAGAAGGAATCCTCATAAGTAAAGGGGAAAATATGGGCACAGTCTGTGGAAAAAGCCTCCATCAGAGCTTTGAGTTTCTTGAGGATGAGAGTGTGGAGACAGGGGGACATCAATATAAATGCTCATCATGCTGGGAAACTTTCCATGACAGAACCCACTTGAATACACATGAGAGAATCCACACAGGAGATAAACCATACGAATGCACAGATTGTGGGAAAAGCTTTAGCACAAGCTATGGGTTTATTGATCATATAAGAGTACACACAGAGGAGAAACCATATATGTGTTCAGACTGCGGTCAGCGCTTCCATCTGAAATCAAACCTTACTGCGCACAAGAGAACCCACACAGCAGAGAACCCCTTCGAGTGCTCTGAGTGCGGGCAAAGCTTTGGTAAGAAATCACATCTTGTCACGCACGAGAGGACCCACACTGGAGAGAAACCCTATCAGTGCTCAGATTGTGGGAAGAGCTTCAGCCAGAAAGGAAATCTCGTTTCCCACATGAGGATCCACACAGGGGAGAAGCCGTATAAATGTTCCCAGTGTGGCAAATGCTTCTCTCATTGCACTTCGCTGATGATGCATGTGAGAACTCACACAGGGGAGAAACCTTACAAATGCTCCATCTGTGAAAAAAGCTTTGTCAACAAGGGAAACCTTGTTTCACATGTGAGAATCCACACAGGGGAAAAACCCTATGAATGCAGAGATTGTGGGAAAAGCTTTAGCACCAGCTTTCAGTTTATAGAGCATAAAAGGCTACACACGGGGGAGAAACCCTACACGTGCTCAGACTGTGGGCAAAGCTTCAATTCAAAATCAAACCTCATCACACACAAGAGAACCCACACAGGAGAGAAGCCCTATCAGTGTACTGTGTGTGGGAAAGGCTTCCGGGTTAAATCATCCCTTACTAAACATGTGAGAATCCATACAGGGGAGAAGCCCTACGAATGTCCTGAGTGCGGGAAAAGCTTCAACACTAGCTCCCTGCTTGTGAATCACAAAAGGGTTCATACAGGAGAGAAGCCGTATAAATGCTCAGGATGCGGGAGAAGCTTCCGTCAGAAAGGAAACCTTGTTTCACATATGAGAATCCATACAGGGGAGAAGCCATACCGGTGTTCTGACTGTGATAAAAGCTTCATTGATAAAAAGTCGCTTATTAAGCACAAGAGAACCCATACAGGAGAGAAAGCTTATGATTGTAAAGATGGTGGACAACACTTCAGGTGCAACTCGGTGCTTTCATAGCACAGTATAATTCACTGGGCCTGACTGGACCAAGCCTCTCCTTGGTCTGACCTACAAATGCATGGTAGGGGGGAGACTGCAGACTTGGTGCTTTCTCACTGACTCAGCATTTCTTCCCCACCTCCGGCATCACCAGACGTCCAGATGGGACCATATATTAAAATACGGATGTATACTTGGGTTGAGTTTGTGTGGTCAGTACCCAGATAGAGTGTGGTCCATTTCTGACCTACATTGGCCATAGAATTGTAGAGGGCAAAGGGACCCCGAGGGTCATCTAGTTCAGCCCCATGCAATGCAGGAATTTCAGACTGCATTGGAAATACTGTGTATTTCCAAGTGGGATGTCTCTAGAGGAGGGGTCTGGCAAGGGGTCTGAAAATCAGGACACCTTCAGGAATAGCTGAAACATCCGGGTGTGCTTAGCCTGGAAGAGAGATAGCGGGAAGAGAGATATTATACCAGTCTTCAAATAACCACACAGAATATGGAACAGGCTTGTTTTCTGTGGCTCCAGAGGGCAAGACTTGGGCAGAAAGTGCAGGGAAGCAGATTTCGGCAAAACATTTAGAAGATCTATTCAACATTGGGACAAAATTAATCAGGAGGTGGTGCTAGGGTTTTTAAAATCTGAAATACAGTGGTACCTCCGGTTGCAAATGAGGTCCGGCCGTATCCCAAAGTTTTCACAACCGGAGAGACCACTTCTGCACATGCGCGCGTGGCGGTAGACCACTTCTGCGTGTGCACGAGTGGTAAAACACTTCCAGGTTTGCTGCTTTCGCAACCTGAAGTTTATGTTACCCAAGGGAAACGTACCCCGAGGTTCCGCTGTATGTCATCTGAACCTGTGCACCCTGGATATTCCAAATTTACTTTCTACCTTAACTGTCAGAGGCAGCCCATGCCTCTGAATACCAGTTGCTGGAAACCACAGGAGGGGAAAGGGCTCTTGTTCTCGGGTCCTATTTTGGGGCTTTCCATTGGGGCAAATGGTTGGCCACTGTGAGCAGGATGCGGGACTCAATGCCACCCGATTCAGCAGGGCTCTTCTTACAGTCTTACGCCACATGGATAGTTTCAGAGGTTGGCAGCTACCCAAGTGGGCAGGAAGGGATGATGCGCTGCCAGCTACACATGTGGGCAAGATCAGGGAGAGGTATTGTCCGATCTCACTGCGATACCACAACACATCCCATTAGAGCAGCCTTCCCCAAGCTGGTGCCCTCCAGATGTTTTGGATCACAACTCGCATCAGTCTTAGGCCAGCATGGCTGTGCTGTATTAAGAGGAGGGCAAGGGGGGAACTTCTGTTGCCATTTAGAGCAACTTCTCAATTGGCCTTAAATTGGCATCGCCAGCCACCACTGGCCATAGGCAGAAGTGCAATGGGACGAGAGATGGGACGCTTACCTTTGTACAGTAGAGTACATTTGACCCCACAGGCCTGGGGTTCCCCCTCCTGTTTTAAGACCATGTTGGAAATATCTGGCATTCCATGCGTATGAACATGCAGAAACACAATGGTGGTAGGGATCTGAAATGCATATTCTGTTCTCGTTTATAATAATTTTGATACTGCCTTTTTAAAAACGTTGCTAACAGGAAACACAGTATTTTTCTAGTCTTTTTGTTCAAAGTGCATGGCTACTGAGTGAGAAATAAATAAATCTGGCGCGTTGTAATGGAATGGCACAGCTTAGACCGGGATGGGGAACCAGCAGTCTGTTGCTAGACCCCAGCTCCCCTGATCAATGATCTGTGGCGATGCTGAGAGGGGAGGGGAGGTGATGAGACTTGGGAGTCCAAAGCATCTGGAAGGAGTCTGGCTGAGGAACATGTTTTACAGAGAGAGAGAGAGAAAGAGAGAGAGTTCAATTGCCAGTCTAGAGCAGGCAAGTTGGGCTAGAAATGTAAATGCACCATCTCACATGAATTGAACTGTTGGTTGGGATGTTAAAACCTTTGTTTTTCTCATTAAATTCTACATTACAAAATATCTGTTGCTCCATGCACTGTCTCATGTACGACTGACCACTGCAGAACATCACCCCTGGAGGCACACTCCATTGTCTCTCAAGACAAGATGGATGCCAATGTGAGTCAATACCAGTGACTCATGCTGGTCTGGTGAGGTATTTTGCTAATGCTGGTCTGGTGAGGTATTTTGGAGAGCCAGTGTGGTGTAGTGGTTAAGAGCGGTGGACTCGTAATCTGGGGAACCGGGTTCGCGTCTCTGCTCCTCCACATGCAGCTGCTGGGTGACCTTGGGCCAGTCACACTACTCTGAAGTCTCTCAGCCTCACTCACCTCACAGAGTGTTTGTTGTGGGGGAGGAAGGGAAAGGAGAATGTTAGCCGCTTTGAGACTCCTTAAAGGAAGAGAAAGGCGGGATATCAAATCCAAACTCTTCTTCTTCTTCTCTTCTTGCTCAACCAAAAACACGGTACAGACAAATACTTCAAAATAATAAATAAAAATTAACTTTTTATTATGCATGTATATTTCATGTCAGCTCTTGGGCAAGTAACAGACTCCAAAAGATAAATTAAAACACAGATAAATTAAACACAGTTAAAACACGGCGAAAGACGCTAGAACTGATATCCCTCCAACACAATCAAACGTTAACTTTTGGCTGAGTGTATACATTCTCCAACAGAGCTAGAAAAGTATTTCAAATATCTGTGTGCCCTGGTGACCCAGTGCCTGGGATTCCTCTAGCCCTGTTCATCCAGATAAATATTTGGTGCAATGTCAAAAGGTGGAAAGGGCCAGGGAACCGCAGCTGTTCTTGGCCACTTCACCGACTTCTCCAATGGCAAGGACGCTGGGGGTGATTGTGGCATCTTCTGCCCCTGCCAAGGTCTCACAAGAGTCTGTCTGAAGAACAGCCAGAGGATGGGCATCAAGGGGACACTTCCTTTTTTGCAACTTCCTCTGTGCATCCTTTTGCCTGCGAACCGCCCCTTGTTCGGGGGTTTCAGTAGCCCGGCGCCGCGCATTCCTTTCGGCTTCGACGCGCCGGCGCTGCAGCCGCTGCTCCGGGGTCTGCCGCGCTCTGTGGCGTCTCTGGCGCTGTCTGGCCAGGAGCCTCTTCCGCAGTTCTCGAGTTTCCACGTTGAAGCACACGTTCATCTGTATGTACCGATCTGCAAGTATGTCAAAATTGATGCGGGGCGAATTGTGTTTGGGGTTTGTGTTTGGAGGGGAGGGCAGGAAGAAATTGCTTGGATCATGGAAGGTTGAAGTACTGGCGGTGTTAGAATGTTCAAGTCACATTTGTGGCAGACTTCGCTTTACATAGGAAGCTGCCTTTTGCTGAGCGAAACCTTCTGCTCTGACTGGGGCAGCTCTCCAAAGTTTCATTCGGGACATTCCCAGTGCTACTTGGGAGTCATCTTGGACTCACAGCTGTCCATGGAGGCGCAGGTCAATTCTGTATCCAGGGCAGCTGTCTACCAGCTCCACCTGGTGCACAGGCTGAGACCCTACCTGCCCGCGGACTGTCTCGCCAAAGTGGTGCAAGCTCTGGTTATCTCCCACTTGGACTACTGCAATGCGCTCTACCTGGGGCTACCTTTGAAGGTCACCCGGAAACTACAACTAATCCAGAAGGCAGCAGCTAGACTGGTGACTGGGAGCGGCCGCCGAGACCACATAACATCGGTCTTGAAAGGCCTACATTGGCTCCCAGTATGTTTCCGAGCACAATTCAAAGTGTTGGTGTTGACCTTTAAAGCCCTAAACGGCCTTGGCCCAGTATACCTGAAGGAGCATCTCCACCCCCATCGTTCTGCCTGGACGCTGAGGTCCAGCGCCGAGGGCCTTCTGGCGGTTCCCTCATTGCGAGAAGCAAAGCTACAGGGAACAAGGCAGAGGGCCTTCTCAGTAGTGGCACCGGCCCCATGGAACACCCTCCCAACAGATGTCAAAGAGATAAACAACTACCTGACATTCAGAAGACATCTTAAGGCAGCCCTGTTCAGGGAAGTTTTTAATGTATGACATATTAGTGTATTTTTGGTCTTTATGGAAGCCGCCCAGAGTGGCTGGGGAAACCCAGCCAGATGGGCGGGGTACAAATAATAAATTATTATTATTATTATTATTATTATTATTATTATTATTATTATTATTATTATTATTATTATTATTATTTTGAGATGCTGAGTTTTGAACTTGGGACCTTCTGCACCCAAAGTAGATGCACTGCCACCTGGCTATGGCACTCCCCTTATTTGCTATCATGGTTCTTCAAATAAATGCTCAGTCTGTCCTGAACCCAGAATAGTTTCAATTAAACTCAGACTTGGAGAGGTTGAAACCTAGTCCAGCACTTCAACAGTAAACATAGTAAAAGGTAAAGGTTAAAAGAAGCAGTAACCTGGAAAGTTCAAGTACTGTCAGGCTTTTGAAGGCTTCAAATGACTAAGCCTTTGCTGAGCCAACCTTCCTGTGTTCAGCCAGCAGAGCTCCCTGGGAGCTGTCCAGAGTCCTGATATAATCTTGCTTTGACATGGAAGAGGCTGTGGTATTCATGTGGGTGGCACTATGGGTTAAACCACAGAGCCTAGGACTTGCCGATCTGAAGGTCGGCGGTTTGAATCCCCGTGACGGGGTGAGCTCCTGTTGCTCGGTCCCTGCTCCTGCCAACCTAGCAGTTCGAAAGCACGCCCCAAAGTGCAAGTAGATAAATACCGTATTTTTCGCTCTATAAGACGCACCAGACCACAAGACGCACCTAGTTTTTGGAGGAGGAAAACAAGAAAAAAAATATTCTGAATCTCAGAAGCCAGAACAGCAAGAGGGATCGCTGTGCAGTGAAAGCAGCAATCCCTCTTGCTGTTCTGGCTTCTGGGATAGCTGTGCAGCCTGCATTCGCTCCATAAGACGCACACACATTTCCCCTTACTTTTTAGGAGGGAAAAAGTGAGTCTTATAGAGCAAAAAATATGGTAGGTACCGCTCCGGCAGGAAGGTAAACAGCGTTTCCGTGCGCTGCTCTGGTTCACCAGAAGCGGCTTAGTCATGCTGGCCACATGACCTAGAAGCTGTACGCCGGCTCCCTTGGCCAATAAAGTGAGATGAGCGCTGCAACCCCAGAGTCGGCCACGACTGAACCTAATGGTCAGGGGTCCCTTTACCTTTTACCTTTACTGACATGGAAGAGGCTGTGGTATTCATGGCCATTTTCCTTTTGGTCTCCGAGCCAAGAGTGAATTTTATTAAAGAATGTTTAAGCACTTTCAGTTGCTCCAAAACATTCCAAAATATTTTTTTAAAAAAATGTTTTGCATGCAGAAGGTCTCAGGTTCAATAATAATAATAATAATAATAATAATAATAATAATAATAATAATTTATTATTTATACCCCGCCCATCAGGCTGGGCTTCCCCAGCCACTCTGGGCGGCTTCCAACAAAATATTAAAATACAGTAATGCATCAAACATTAAAAGCTTCCCTAAACAGGGCTGCCTTCAGATGTCTTCTAAAAGTCTGGTAGTAGTTGTTCTCTTTGACATCTGGTGGGAGGGCGTTCCAAGGGCGGGTGCCACTACTGAGAAGGCCCTCTGCCTGGTTCCCTGTAAGAGTCCAATCCCTGGCCTCTTCAAGTAGTGCTGGGAGAGGCTTCTGTTTGCAGCCTTGGAAACCCCAATGGGCTGACTCGTTACAAGGCAACTTCTGATGTGCCTATGTGACTGAGAGAGAGCAGCTGGCCTGGGGCAACCCAGCGTATTTTTCGCTCTATAGGACGCACTGGACCATAGGACGCACCTTGTTTTAGAGGGGGAGAAGAAGAAACCCCCCCCTCTCTGCTCAGCGCCCCTTCAGCAAAGCGGCAGGAGAAACGGAGCCCCTTCCATTTCTCCTCCCGCTTCGCTGAAGGGGCGCTGCGCAGCTCTCCCTCTCTGCTGAAGCCAGAAGAGTCTTGCTCTCCTGGCTTCAGCAAAAGGAACCCAAAGCCTGCAGAGCGCAGTGGGAATGCGCTCTGAAGGCTTCAGGTGGCTAATCCCTGGAGACGGAGCGTTCCCTCTGCGCTTCGGAGGCTTCGGGTTGCTATCGCTGAAGCCAAGGAGCCTGCATTCGCTCCATAGGACGCACACACATTTCCCCTTAATTTTTGGAGGGGGAAAAGTGTGTCCTATAGAGTGAAAAATACGGTAGGTTTACAAATTGAAGCCCTTACATTTTTCCTTCTCTGCAGCTAACAGCAGCTCTGGAGGAAAGCAATCTACTTAAGGGCTGCTTTGAAGGAGACAAGGTTTAGCATCCCCTCCTCACACACTCCTACTTCCCCAGCACAAGGGCAAAAGCCATGGTTTAATGACCTCGGAAATGTCATTAATGAATGAATCAGGCACCAGAACCCTTACTTAGTAAGTTGATGTCCACCTCATCCTCTGTTTTGGCCTCCAGGGGGAGCCTCTGCATCGTCTTTGGGGAATCTGAAGGGGCTCCAGATGACTCCAGAGAATTCAGCTCATCCTCTGGTGGGAACAACACCTGCAATTCAAATAGGCATCTATTGTTCAGTGAACAAAGTGCAAACGACAAGGGACTAGGACCTTCTCTGGCCTAGAGGAAAAATCAAGTGGCAGTTGCAAGAAGGTGGGAACCAGGGTCAACGTCGGGTGGACTTTTGTGTGATTACAAATATCTAAACAAAATGACTAAATTGTCTGCTGCTCTATTTTTCCACGGGGAAATTTCCCACTTTTAGAAACACACCCACCCCCTCAATTAGGCAGTAACGTAATGAATGGATGAGGAGGGACTGAATGGTAGAGCATCTACTTTGCATGCAAAAGGTTGCGGGTTCAATCCCCGACATCTCCAGGCAGGGATGAGAAAAGGATCCCTGGCTGAAAATTTCCAGAGCTGCTTCCAGTCTGTGTAGACGGGACTGAGCTAGATGCACCAACAGCTTGACTCAGGAAATACAGGAAGCCGCATTAGGCTAACACAATCCCAAGCAAACAGGGCATTTGGGGTGGATTCAACGCCAATCGAAGCTGCAATATACTTTTTTTTCAGGGACCTCTCCCTAAAAAGTACCGTATTTTTCGTCCCATAGGACGCACTGGCCCATAGGACGCACCTAGTTTTTTTGGGGGGAATAAAGGAAATTTCCCCCCCTTTATTTCCCCCCCAAAACCAGGTCGGGGAATCCAAAGCAGGTCGGGGAACAGCGGGATGGTGGCGCTCCGCCTCCCCGCTGTCCCCCGAGCTTGTGGGGCTGGCGCTGGGGAGAAGCCTCGCTCTCCAAGCTTCAGCGAAAGCCTGCATTCGCCCCATAGGACGCACACACATTTCCCCTTCATTTTTGGAGGGGAAAAATTGCATCCTATAGGGTGAAAAATACGGTACATCTATTTATTTGCAGAGCTCTTCAAGCATGCTAAAGTTAATATGTCAATAGCTTTTAGTGTCTCCAACCTCCACCACCCGCCCCTTAAAATGTGAACAATGGAAGGGAAATCTGTTCTATTTTGCCATCATGTCTCAGAAAACAATATAATAAAAATAATTTCCATGCAAAGCTTTGAAATGGTCTGAATGTAACAATTAAGCCACGCTGCTTTTTTTACCCTAATCAGACATTCGAATTCAATTACATTGGGATATTGAGAAATACCTTTGAGGTCTTTATACAGCACATAGAAGCATAATGTGAGTTGTATCAAGCTAATAATGGATGAGATGAATATGCCTGTGGAAAACGTTAAAATTTTCAGAGGAATCTATTCTTTTGAACAACATGCCTGCTATATGGAATTTGACAACTGGACAGCTCCATTTAATCAATAGATATGACTAGACATGCAAGTTATGAATGGATTGTTTACGGACGCAGACTTTGCATGGACAAGTAGAATGACATTTGGAATGCATTTATACAAAATATACTAGGTTAAAAATAAACATATATGTATATGGATAGTAATAACACCTATACATTAGATAAGCATTTATATGGAACTGGAACTGTTAACTTTTGCAATGATATAGTACTATATAGCTTTATTTTTATTTTATAATAAAAGCTATGTCAGGGGTGGGGGACTTTTTTCAGCCCAAGGGCACAAATTCCTATCTGAGCAACCTTCTGAGATCAGTGGTGGGTGGAGCCAGAGGCAAAAATGGGCAGAGCACTGAGGAGGAAAGTTTGTAAAAGAGGGCGGGCATGCTATTAAGATGGGAGCATACGATGCTGCCTTATAATGAGTCAGACCATTGGTCCATCTCACTCAATACTGTCTACACTGATTGGCCACGGCTCTCCTCAGCCACACTGGGAGATCTTTGCCAACACTTTACTGGACAAGCTAGGGATTGATGCTCTGTGACTGAGCTACAGCTTTTCCTGGAGGTGGCTGGGATGACCACAAAGGCTGGCACACCCACCTTTGGCTCCTGTCTCTTGGGCTCCTGTGGCCTCAGGAGGAAGACCTCTGCCAGGGCCACCGCCTGGGCACAAGTCTCTGGACGGCGTTCCCTAACCCAGCTCTCCATCTCTACAGGGAGGACGCTCAGAAACTGCTCCAGGATCAGCACATCCAAGATCTGCTCCTTTGAGCGCCTCTCCGGCTTCAGCCACTGGTGGCAAACCTCCCAGAGCCTCTTGCAGACGTCTCGGGGCCTCTCAGCTTGCCGACAGCTGAACTGCCGGAAACGCTGGCGCAGAGCCTCCACGCTGGCAGCGTCCTCGTCGAGAAGCCCCTCCTCTTCTGCTTTCTCGGAGGAGTCCACGTTGTCAGAAGCCTGCTGAGCTTCTCTGCTCAGGCCTGTCTGCCTTTGGGTGACCCACAGTCCTTTGGGCCACTGGCTGACATCGCTCCTTCCCGTCGTTGAGAGGACCCTGCCGTCCTCCTCTGCAGGCTTCCCCGAGGCAGGTGGGGTCTGTGGGTTCTTCCACCCTGAGGGAGGGGACTGCATTGTCCTAAGGAAGTCCTGCAACTGTGCTTCCCAGCGCTCTCGCTGCCCCTCCTCAGGCTCCAGTTTAATTGGCTGCAATGCTGCTGCCCCTTCCAGTGACTCCCCTGTGGTCTCCATCTGGACCACATGAAGGTCTCCTTCTTGTGCTGCCAAATCCTCTCCCAATTTGGCTTGTCCTTGGTCCTGCATCTTCCTTTTTGCTTTGGGCTGCACCTGAGCTGGAAAGGAGAAAGCAATGGGTTTTATCATCAGCACAAGCCAGGAGTAGCCAATGTCGTGTCTTCCTTCCAGTGCTTTTCCAACTGCACTGGCTCCCGGTGGAGTATCGGGTCAGGTTTAAGGTGCTGGTTTTGACCTTAAAAGCCCTTTGTGGCTTAGGGCCCTCGTATTTACGGGACCACCTCTCCTGGTATGCCCTGCAGAGGACCTTAAGGTCCATGAATAATCATAGTTTAGAGGTCCCAGGCCCTAAGGAAGTCAGATTATCCTCCACCAGGGCCAGGGCCTTCTCAGTGATGGCTCCAACCTGGTGGAATGCTCTGTCTCAATAGACGAGGGCCCTGCAGGATTTAACTTCCTTCCGCATAGCCTGTAAGACAGAGTTATTCTGCCTGGCTTTCAATTTGAACTTAGCCTGGTCTTTTATTCCCCTTCCTTCCCTCCCCTCCCCGTTTTATGAAGATTACCCGCTCTGGGATCCCCAGCTAATTCTCCCCTGGTCTCCTCGCTGGCCCAAATAGGACTAATTTAGCCAGCTAGCCCTGGTGATCATCTAATGTTTATTGGATGGATTTCCCCCCTAAATTGATTTTTGAATTCTGAATTTATTGTTATTCACGTTTTAGACTGTATTTTATGCTGTTTTTTGTTGCATCAATTAAGTGATTTAAATTGGTTGTTAACCGCCCTGAGCCCGGTTTTCTGAACCGGGAAGGGTGGGGTATAAATAAAAATTTATTTATTTATTATATTATACTGCCGGACTCCAACTCCCATCAGGGCTAGAAGGCATGGCCAATGATATGGGATGGTGGGACTTGTAGCCCATCAAGATCTGCAAGGCACCATTTTGATTAAAGGTCTAATTCTCATCCTAAAGGTCTCATTCTCACAGAAGTGGCAACCTCCCAGTCATCTGGTCCCGGGAACCACCCACCAACAGAGTCTCAGTCTTATCTGGATCAAGCTTCAGTCTGTTGGCTCTCATCTAGTCCAATACTGAGGCAAGACACCAGTTTGTTGGGAATCACAAGTGTAGAGAGTGGTGCAGGTCCTGCTTGGGGTCTTTTTGCAGGCAATTGGCTGATAACTGTGAGAACAGGATGCTAAATTATGAGGGGCCTTAGGCTTGAGCCAGCCAGGCTCTACTTAGGGACTTATGTGAGCTTCATGGCCGGATGGGGATTTGAACCCTGCTCTCCCAGATTGTAGTCCAACACTCTAACCACTACACCACATTGAGGAACAGATCTTTACCCAACATGATGGCTCTACTTTTGCCTTTCCGCAGTCCTTCTGTGCAAAGTTGTGCTATTGGCTCCTCCTCTGCCTCTGGTGAGCTAGCAACCGCCTCTTCAAACATCAGGTTAACCTAATAATAAAAAACGAAGGATTTATAGAGCATGTTAAGCAAAGCACCCAAAGCAGTTTGTGAGATTTTGACAACTCTGCAAAATAGGCCAGTATTGTTATTTATATTGTTTAGAAGCAAGATACAGTCAGACCTTGGTTTTCGAATGGAATCCGTTCCGGGAGTCCATTTGACTACCAAAATGTTTGAAAACCAAGGAGCGGCTTACAATTGGCTGCAGGAGCTTCCTGGACTCAGTCGGAAACCACAGAAGCCGCCTCGGATATTCGTCTTCCGAAAAACGTTGGCAAACTGGGACACTCACTTCTGGGTTTGCAGTGTTCAGGAGCCAAAACGTTTGAGTCACAAGGCGTTCAACAACCAAGGTACGATTGTATTACAAAATGAAATAGGGAGTAAAAACAAAGAAAAAACAATAAAATTTGTTTCCTCTAAAATTTGTATCCTGAACTGCCTTGTGTATAGTAACATAGAAACACCGTGTGCAAATCAAAAGTGAAATGAAATGAAATTATAAACTGAAGTGTCAGGTACCTGGAAGTGTCCTCCGCAGCCTCCCTACAAAGATTGTCTCTGGGGCCCCTTGAAGGATTCACAAAGAAAGAGATGTTCTCACCTGCTGCTTCTGCTCTTCAAGCTCCTGTGACCCAAGCAGGAAATCCTCTGCCAGAATCACTGCCTGGGCGCAAGTCTCTGGGCCATGCCCCTGAACCCAGATCTGCATCTCCGGGGGCAGGATGGCCAAGAACTGCTCCAGGATCACCAGCTCCAGGATCTGCTCCTTGGTGTGCTCTTCTGGCCTCAGCCACTGGTGGCAAAGCTCCTGGAGATGCCTCCACAACCCCATGGGTCCTTCGGCTTCTCGATAGCAGAAGTGCCTGAAGTTGTGGTAGCGTGCCTCCAAGCTGCCTAGGTCTGGACTCTCTTCTTTCACTCTTGCAGGAGAATCCAGGCGATGCTCACAGACCTTGAGGGATCCTCTCGAAAAGTCTGGCAGGGTTCGCTTCGTAAGCTCGCTCCGAGGCCACTGAGTGGTGTCTGTCACTCCACTGGCAGACAGAATGAGCAAATCCCTAGGGCCCTCTTCAGACTCAGGATCAAGCAAGCATGGATCATCATGTTCTGTGTGAGGGGGTTGTGCCGGCTGCATGAAGCCTTGCCAATGGGTTTCACAGTACCCGTCCTCTGGTTCCTCCTTTATTGGGAATGGAGACAGCCTTCTTGACAGCTCTTCAGTGGTCTCAACCTGGACAACACGCAGGTCCCTTCCTCCCGCCTCAGGCATCTCCCCTGTTTCAGGCTCTTCAAGGTCTTGGTCCTCCATTTTGACTTCTGGTGGTATCCAGTGCCCTGTAAATAAAAGACTTCTTAGATCAGGCACATCAGAACTATGTATAGTGGTACCTCAGTTTTCAAGGGTCTCAGTGGCAGAACGTTTCGATTTTCGAACGCTGAAAACCTGGAAGTAATTGCTTCTGTTTTCGAATGCACCTCAGAAGTCGAATGGCTTCTGCAGTGTGTTCTTCAATTTCTTCAATTGAACTTGTAGCCAGCCCTTTGCGCTTCGGTTTTTGAACGTTTCAGAAGGGATGAGGAACCTTTTGTTTTTTCCTAGCAAGGGTTGAATTCTCTCAGTGGTCGTCTGTCAAGGGCTGTGTACTGGTAGTGGGCAGGGAGGGCTTCAGTGAGAAAGCCAGAACTGGATGGGGCCCAAAAGGAGGTGGGGCACCCCGTTTTATTTCTCTCTCTTTCTGCCACATTTGTTTCTCTTCACTTTCACCCCTCCTTGTACATGGAATTTGACTGAAGACAATTCTGAGCTCAACAGACCAACAGTCTGACTAAATATTTCTTATAAAGCAGTGCACGGTAACAGAAAAATTAAACGTATTCATCATAGCAATCTGTAAAACACAATTTAAAACTCGCTCCCTGCTCCCCTGGACAGAATACCTGACAGACACAGGAAGAACAAGGATATAGTCTGAGGGCCTCACCTGTAGTTTTATTAATAATTTAATGTGTCAATACGAATGGAAATTGTTAATATTTCAATTGTTGTATAAGGGATTGGTATTTTGACCAGAGTGTAATTGAAATTACAGTGGTACCCCGCAAGACGAACACCTCGCAAGATGGAAAACCCGCTAGACGAAAGGGTTTTCCGTTTTGGAGGCGCTTCGCAAAACGAATTTCCCTATGGGCTTGCTTCGCAAGACGAAAAGCCCATAGGGAAATCTCTGGGACCTCTTTTAAATGCTAGCGGTGGGGAGCAAAGCCTTCCCCCCCCTCCGGCCTTCAGAAGAGGTCCTTAGGAAGGCTGGCGGGGGCCGAAAGGCTTTGCTCCCCACCGCCAGCATTTTAAAAGCAGTCCGGGATAGCAGGGAAGCGCTTCCCGCTATCCCGGACGGCTTTTGAAGGCAGGAGAGGTCCGCGAAGCCTGGGCGCGCTGATCTCAGCACGCGCAGGCTTCGGCATGCCGGCAACTCTCCGCAAGCAGCGGCAGCGCTGCCACTGCTTGCGGAGAGGTCCGCGAAGCCTTGGCCGGACAGCTTTGAAGGCAGGCGGGGGGGAGCAAAGACTTTCGCCCCCGCCAGCCTTCAGAAGAGGTCCTGGACCTCTTCTGAAGGAGGGTGGGGGGCAAATGTCTTTGTCCCCCCTGCCTGCCTTCCCAGGGGCTTTTAAATCGCCCCGGACAGTGGAGAAGTCCTCCGCTGTCCCGGGGCGATTTTAAAATGCCGCCCGCCAGCATTTTAAGATCGCCCCGGACAGCGGAGAAGCCCTCCGCTGTCCTGGGGTTTTTTAAAATGCTGGGGGTGGGAAGAAAAGCCCTTGTCCCCCCCCCAGCCTTCAGAAGAGGTCGGGGGACAGACTGTCCCCGGACCTGGTCTGAAGTCGGTTTCCCTAGGAACGCATTAATTGATTTTCAATGCATTCCTATGGGAAACCGTGCATCGCAAGACGAAAAACTCGCAAGAAGAAAAAACTTGCGGAACGAATTAATTTCGTCTTGCGAGGCACCACTGTAATAAGATTTTGGAACGCAGAAATAAGTAAATCATCAAACCATCAATTCTAGCACGCAGGCACCTAAATTATATAATTTGGTATCTGAATGATTGGTATTGGTAATTGTATTATAATTTGGCATTGTTATAATGAGGCAAATATTGGATTATTGTAAATGAAAATTAATAACAATTATTATAAAATTAAAAATAAAACTCGCTCCCCCACCTGCCTCCTGGCCACCGTTAACAACCAAAGTGATAAACACCCAGGGATGACATTAAACTCAACCCAGGAAGACCCACAAAAATGCCTTTCTGTAGCTTTTACCAAATGTTTGGTGTGGCGTAAGTGGCGATGCCTGAGAGGACCCGGCCTTCCTCAGCACCTCTTCAGCATCTTTCCTCCTTTGCCTCATGAGGCGCATCCTCTTCCAAGAGTCTTTCCTGTGCTTCTTTTGGTATGCGCTGTCCAGCTTTCGGTCTTCCCTGATCATCTTCATTGCTCTCCTCGCCTTCTCTCGCTCAAGGAGTCTCTGCTCGTCGCTTTGCCTCGCCCGGCTCTCTCTCTTCCTCTCGGCGGCGCTCTTGCTCATCGTGCAGAAAACCGGCACCCTCCCTTCAGCAGTTGTTGCGTGGAGTTTTATATATTTGAAAATTCATGAAACGACAGGTGACTGGGCTTCGCGTCATAGAGGCTGGCTCCCATCATTTCCCGACATGGTTTTTGTCCTGAAAGGCGAAGGAAGGGACTGTGTTCAGCTCCGGGGTGGATCCATCTCTTTGGCCTAGTTGGGAAGAGTCAGAGACTGGTGTTTTTCAGTATCAAATGCCTCTTTGAACATTAGCAGTATAAGCTGTATATATATATATTTCTAATTAAATAACCCTGATGCTTAACATTGGCCATTAAGAGACAACAGAGATAAGAGATAATATAACTTTTTAAAAAAATGTTTAAATATTGCTATACTGTATACATTTCCCTTATCTTTTATGTGGAGGCAGGAAACAGTTCCTTTTATAAAATAAATAACGTGATGAAAATTATCTCCCAAACATAATCTGTTTAGCTCGGACTGTGTGTGTGTTTGAATATTTAACTATATTCAAAACCAACTAAAAATTAGCTTTTATTAACCCTCACTTTTTAATAATTCTTTTTTAAAGAGAGAAGCTGAATATGAAATAGGGCATTTGATTACAATAGATCTGATCATTAATCCCACAATGCACGCACACCTGCTTAATCTGTGTAATCTGCTCAGAGGCTGCTTGGCTGTGGTTGCCATGGAAACCAGGAAACATCGAGGCCTAAATCCTGCTAAAGTTAATTTGGACGAAAACTTCCTTCTCACAAGTAGCGGAGGAGGTCATGAAACCTTTTCTGAGTCTCCTAATGAGGAGGTGAACTGACATGACACACACACACACACACACACACAAAACAAACAAACATATCTTGCACATAGAAAAGTATCTGCTCAGGAAGAAGCTTCTGGCCTAGACTTTTCTGACATACTAGTTTTCCCACATACAGGTAATCCTGCTATATTTTAATGGAGAAACATTCAGTCATGTGAGCCTTCACCCGTTGTCTAAAGCAGTGTTTCCCAACCGGTGTTCCGCGGCACACTAGTGTGCCGTGAGACGTTGCCTAGTGTGCCGTGGGAGGGAGGCGGGCGAGTCGGGCGGCGAGAGGCGGGGCGCCGGCGGCGAGCACACGCGGGGCGGCGAGCGAGCGAGCTCCCACATCCCATCGCCGCGAATGCAGGCTTTCGCTGAAGCCTGGAGAGCGAGAGGGGTCGGTGCGCACCGACCCCTCTTGCTCTCCAGGCTTAAGGAAGCTATCCCCCAGCCGCGCAAGCTCCCAGAGCGATGCCAAAGCTGCGCGCACCTTTGCCATCGCTCTCCAACCCGTTCGGGGGGCTGGGGTCGGGGGAAGCTCCAGCTTCCCCCGCCCGCAGCCTCCCAAGCCCCGAGAGCGATGGCGAACGTGCGCACACCATCGCCATCGCTCTCTGACCTGTTCGGGGGGCTGGGGAGGGGGGAAGCTCCGGCTTCCCCCGCCCCCAGCCCGCGCAAGGTCCCAGAGCGATGGCGAAGGTGCGCACACCTTCGCCATCGCTCTCCGACCTGCTCTGCGGGCTGGGGACGGGAGAAGCTCCGGCTTCCCCCGCCCCCAGCCCGCGCAAGGTCCCAGAGCGATGCCGAAGGTGCACACACCTTCGCCATCGCTCTCTGACCTGCTCTGGCGGCTGGGGGCGGGGGAAGCTCCGGCTTCCCCCGCCCCCAGCTCCTGCAAGCTCCGGGAGCAATGGCAAAGGTGCGCTCACCTTCGCCATCGCTCTCGGACCCTTTCTGGGGGCTGGGGGCGGGGGAAGCTCTGGCTTCCACCACCCCCAGCTCCTGCAAGCTCCGGGAGCAATGGCAAAGGTGCGCTCACCTTCGCCATCGCTCTCGGACCCTTTCTGGGGGCTGGGGGTGGGGGAAGCTCTGGCTTCCCCCACCTCCAGCCCCGCAAGCTCTGGGAGTGATGGCGAAGGTGCGCTCACCTTTGCCATCGCTCTCGGACCCTTTCTGGGGGCTGGAGGCGGGGGAAGCTCGGGCTTCCCCCACCCCCAGTCCCGCAAGCTCCGGGAGCCACTCTGGCTCCCATTCTGGGGGCTGGGGTCGGGGGAAGCTCGGGCTTCTCCCGCCCCAGCCCCGCGTCTGGGGGGGGGGAAATAATTTTTTCCCCTTTATTTCCCCCCAAAATCTAGGTACGTCCTATGGGCCGGTGCGTCCTATAGGCGAAAAATAGGGTAGTCAATATAGGCACAGAGTTAATTTTTTAAACATTTTCTAATGGTGGTGTGCCTTGAGATTTTTTTCATGAAACAAGTGTGCCTTTGCCCAAAAAAGGTTGGGAAACACTGGTCTAAAGCGGCACAGTTAAGGTTTGCCTCCTTGTCTGATGTACGTGGCTACCAATGTCAAACCTTTAAAAGTAGTCATTTGACCACAAAGACCAACTCCAACCCCACTGCTGTGAATGGGGAGCTCATCACAAACTCATTTTAGCTCAAACTGGATAAGAATTAGAGACCCCAGGTGTATAATTTCATTATTTTAATAGTGCTGCTTTAATTGCATTTAACCTTTTAGATTAGCCTTGAATTTCGTGTGTTCTGCATTTGTGAGTCTCTCCCTCCTACACCATCTCTCCTTATCTATTTTTTATTCATTTTATTTCATTTACTGAATTTATATGCCGCCCTGTAGTTTTGTGAGGGGGACGGGGGTCTCCTAGCAACGTTCAGCATCCTTAGGAATCTACAGCTCCCACAATTCTCTGGGGGGGGGGAGCCATGACAGCTGGGAGCAATATGACCCTGCTTGAAATGTGCAACGCAAATGGGGTCCCTGTGTGTGTGTGTAAAAGCAACTAGATTACCCAGATACATAGAACAGGATTTGTTTTACAATGTGCAAAAGAGGAAAGCATCCTGGCAAGCCACGTGCTTGGACGCAGCTGTTTCAAGGGGCAGATGTCCTCCCTCCCCGCCTGCCCTCCTGATTCCTCTTGTGCATCTGCTTCTCCTACTTGGGGATCGCCTCTTCTGAATCATGCTTTCCCCCCCCCCCGCCCCCCGACACACACCCCACAACCTCCTTGAACTCACCCTCTCCTTGCAAGGATTTCCACCAGGGGAGGCGGGCAGGAAGTCCCCGGGCAACACGCCTTGCACGATTATGATCGCAGGCTGGAATGTGCAAAAGGGAAGTTTTTTGGTGTGTGTGTGGGTTGTGGGTTTCCCTGCCGAGAAAGGGAAAAGGGGGGGGGGGCGGGACAGGAAAGTGACATGCATTGCTCCCTTTTCCCATTTCAGGAGCTCTCTAGGCAAGAGAACTCTCTGCATTTAACCCGTTCAGTCTCTTTTCAGGAAAGTTGACTTTTCCTTATGGAGCGGGGAGTCAAGACAAAGGCCAACTAAGTCCTACTGCAGATGCTGACAGCAGTCACGAAATTAAAAGACGCCTGCTTCTTGGGAGAAAAGCAATGACAAACCTAGACAGCATCTTAAAAAGCAGAGACATCACCTTGCCAACAAAGGTCCGTATAGTTAAAGCTATGGTTTCTCCAGTAGTGATGTATGGAAGTGAGAGCTGGACCATAAAGAAGGCTGATTGCCGAAGAATTGATTCTTTTGAATTATGGTGCTGGAAGAGACTCTTGAGAGTCCCATGGACTGCAAGAAGATCAAACCTCTCCATTCTTAAGGAAATCAGCCCTGAGTGCTCAGTGGAAGGACAGATCCTGAAGCTGAGGCTCCAATATTTTGGCCACCTCATGAGAAGACTCCCTGGAAAAGACCCTGATGTTGGGAAAGATTGAGGGCACAAGGAGAAGGGGACAACAGAGGACGAGATGGTTCGACAGTGTTCTCGAAGCTACCAGCATGAGTTTGACCAAATTGTGGGAGGCAGTGGAAGACAGGAGTGCCCTGGCGTGCTCTGGTCCAGGGGGTCACGAAGAGTCGGACACGACTAAACAACAACAAAGTCCTACTCAGAGTAGACCCACTGAAACTAATGAACCTAAGTTAATCTATTAACTTAGAATCATGGAAACAAAACCTCTACAATACCTTGGATAGCTCAGTTGGTAGAGCATGGGACTCTTAGGCAAAGGATATTCCTGTGTTGCTGGGGATTTTACTAGATGACAATTGTGGTCCCTTCTAACTAATTCTACAATTCCATAGGATTGTCGAGTTGAAAGGGACCCAACGGTCATCTAGTCCAACCCCCTGCAATGCTGCAATCAACTAATGGGCTGTTAGTGTCAGAAAGTTCTTCCTGGTGTTCAGCTGGAATCTTCTTTCTCGTAACTTGAACCCAATGGCTCTGGAGCAGAAGAAAACAAGCTTGTTCCATCTTCCATGTGGCAGCCCTTTTGACTGCATGCATGCCAGCCAAGATACTGTCCTCTCTGCGTGGTGGCTTGTACCAGGCTGAAAGACATTCCCCTCCATAACACTAAAGCTGACCAGATGATACTGGTCTAACAATAATCTCTTGGCCTAGTGGCCACTAATCTGCTTCACAGCAGCCTTGTGAAGGCTAAAAAAGGGCAGGGGAGCTGAGAACCACGCATGGCACCCAGAGGGCTTTTGAGGAAGGTGGGGAGAAAAAAGAAAGCACTTGCACTGCAGGCAGAAATTCAACATGGTGTGTAGTATAGTAGTAGTGTCTGACTACAACCAGGGGGTTGGACTCGATGGCCCTTGTGGTCTCTTCCAACTCTATGATTCTATGGTTCAAATCCCCACTTGGCCATGAAGCTCATGCCCAACTTACCTCACAGGGTTGCTGTTGGGATTAACTAAGGAGTGGGAGAACCGTTTAAGTCAATTTAAGCTTCTTGGAGAAAAAGGTGGGACGGCAACTCCCCTGGAGCATATGAAATCGAGTAACCATTTGGAAACCCAATGCAGCCATCTGAAACAAGTCAGTGCACTTAAAACCCATTCATTCTCTTTAGTACTCGTCTCTTCTTTTTTATTTTTTTCTGGCAGCGGTTCTTAGCCTTTTTTGGGTCACGGATTCCTTTGAGATTTGGATGAAAGTTGTGGACCCTGTCACCAGAAAAATGCACATAAAAACATTTTATGCACATCTCTCCTTTTTTTTCTTCTTCTCCCGGTTTACAGACCATGTGAAGCCAATCTGTGGACTTCAGGTTAAGAACCCATGGTCTCCGGTCCTAGTCCTGATCAGCTTACCGGAAGAAGCGTCTCCACCCCCATTGTTCAGCCTGGATGCCGAGATCCAGATCTGAGGGGCTTCTGCTGATTCCCTCACTGCAAGAAGTGAGGTTTCAGGTAACCAGGCAGAGGGCCTTTTTGGTAGTGGCACCCACCCTGTGGAACGCCCTCCCATCAGATGTCAAGGAGATAAACAGCTATCAGACTTTTAGAAGACATCCGAAGGCAACTCTGTTGAGGGATGTTTTTAATGGTTGAAGTTTTACTGTGGTTTTATAATTTGTGGGGCACCGCCCAGAGTGGCTGGGGCAAGCCAGTCAGATGGGTGGCATATACAGTGGTACCTTGGTTTCTGAACGTAATCCATTCCAGAAGACTGTTCGAGCTCCAAAACATTTGAAAACAAAAAACTCAATACAGAAGCCTCTACGGAAAACTCAACACGGAAGCAATCTGGCATGTTTGACTTCCGAGGCGTGTTCGAAAACCGAAGCATTTACCGTATTTTTCGCCCCATAAGACGCACTTTTTCCCCTCCAAAAATGAAGGGGAAATCGGGGTGCGTCTTATGGGGCGAGTGCCTGCAAGCCTCGCGCGCCCGGCAGGAGGTCTCACCGGGTGCGCGAGGCTTGGGGCGACAGCCTGTCGCCCGAAGCACGGGGAGCCCTCCGGAGGGCTCCCCCTGCTTCGGGCGAGTGTCTGCAAGCCTCGCGCACCCGGCAGGAGGTCCCACCGGGTGCGCGAGGCTTGGGGCGGCAGCCTGTCGCCCGAAGCACGGGGAGCCCTCCGGAGGGCTTCCCCTGCTTCGGGCGAGTGTCAGCAAGCCTCGCGCACCCGGCAGGAGGTCC